ACTCTTCTCTGCTTAGAAAACCTTTATTCATTAATGTTTTAATTAAACAACACTGTTTATATTTCAGACATCCTTATAAAAGACACAGAGCTTATCCGACACAGTTTTATTATCTCACAGTCTTTTGGCTTTGATTTTTGTCGCTGATTTTGATTTTACTCTTAGGCCCCTTGGCTTTTTCACTCTGCGTGCGTGACTTCTGCAGCAGAGACAGCGTGTCGCGCTTCTCAATCTTCCGCAGATGTTTCTTCTTCATCCTCTTAATCTTGGCTGTGTTCTTGATCTGTGACACAAATGAGACAGGAGAGGACAAAACAATTGTTTTTCATTTTCGAACAGACTGACTTCTGAATGCAGCTCTTACATGTAACGGTGCGTTTCTCACTTAAATGATCTGTGGGCAACCAAGGTAATATGCTTATATGTTATGTTAAAACTTGTAAAAAAAAATGATCCACATTTTTTCTTTAAGAGAAAAGTTGAAAATGAAATGTATAAATGTAACCACTAGTTGTCCGTGTTCTTTATGAGACTATATTTCAGACAAATCTTTGACATTAAGGATCTAAAATATAGAATCACTTTGTAGCATTTAAATACTCTTTCCTAAAGTGACTCTTCTATTTTTTCTCAGAACGGAGAGTTTATCATTTGACAGATATGAAGGAGTTCATATTAGTTTGATCCAGTAGCCACCACTCCTCTGTATCCTAGTGGACATATGTATAGGCAATATAAAGACCTAAATTAAATCATATTCCTCTGCTAGGTGTAAAAACTGGTGAGGATCAGGGGGAGCGCGGATAGCCTAGCAGTTATGTCATGCGCCCACGTACAGAGGGTATAGTCCTCAATACAGCGGGCATGGGTTCAAATCTGACCTCGGCCCTTTGCTGCATGTCATCCCCCACTCTCCCCTCCCAACATTTCCTGTCTCTCTTCAGCTGTCCTATCTAATAAAAAGGCAAAAAGGCCCAAAAAAACTACTTGGGGAAATAAAAAAGCATTTGGTCTTGTTTGTGAGTGGATGCGCATTTACTTTATATAATGATTGTAGTCATTCACAATCTTTGAAACCTTTTTTTTTTTTTAAATGGCTGTTATATACTGAGTTAGAAAACTGGTGTACGTGATCAGTGCTATGTATGCGCAACTCTCAGCTCAGATGAGAAGAAGTTCATTCTCTTCTATGTGTAAGTTGTGAAACAGTGTACGGTGTGTTGTTCAGTGTCTCTTTGAATGTATCGTGTGAGAAACAGCCGACGTACCACTTGGACAATCTCTGCTTTGCGTTCATTCTCGAGACGTCGTTTCAAGTTGTCCTCTCTCCTTTTCCTCTTTTCCTACAAAGGCAGGATATAAAAAAAGAAACATGTAACGGCGCAAATACTTTAAAACCATGAAAAGGAGAATATCCTCACAAGGCTTTGACTTACTTCCTTCTGTTTGGCTTTCTCCTCTTTCAGCTGCACCGTGTACTGTTTCACCAGATCTTTCTCCCGCTTGGCCTGCATCTTCTTCTCCCAGGAAGAGCACAATGGTTTATCTCTCAACAGCACAGAGAACCTAAGAAAACAAATCACATATTGTGGGTTAATTGATGATACAGCACTCATTCCAACAGTGGCTCTCATTCATAAAGATGCCTATGAATGTCCCATACAATGTTTTTTTTTATTATTATTAACACTGATCTACAAGATCCATTTTCATTCAGGGAAACGAACAGAGCAGTTTTTATTCATCAGCTTTAATAACAGTTAAACCCTTATCATGACACAACAGGCCTTAGACAAGATAATCCCTTGTTAGCCAAGTGTGTAACACATTGAAAAAAAAAAAACTTTCACTGAATGGTAGATTAAGTTCTTTCTGTTAAGGCAGGGATGGGCAACTTCGTTCACAGCAAGGGCCACATTCATTTAATTCTCACTGCCAGAGGGCCAAATTGTAGGATACAAAAAACGATTACAGTCGATTATGTCTCAAATGTAACTCAACATATACCAGTGATCAAATATTATTATGGACATATTTCTGGTTTTCATGGTTTCATGGCAGATTTTGTCATGTTTTCTTCATGTTTTGACGTGTAAAAATTGACCTGAGGGCCACATTGAGGGTTGACGGGCCGCCAGTTGCCCACCCCTGTGTTAAGGGCTCTATGCTTCCAGCATCCACAAAACCGATACGAGTAACTCACAACTTTGGTATCGTACTGCAGCTCTGAATGTGATATGTCATCACAACCTTTCCAACACTCATATACCCGTCTTTGGCTACGGTTGCAAAGTGGTGGAAAAATTTCCGGAAACTTTCAATGGGAAGTTAAGCTGGGGAATTTTGGAAATATTAAAAATTGTATTAATACCACACATCAACTGTTTAAAATATATTACCCCATAATAATCATCGAAACGTATTTCACTTTATGTAGCCCACGGGCTAAACTGTGTGGCTTCATTAGTCTTGTGCTCTGGGCTCAAAGGTGTGGTTCAGGGTTCTAGACATCATCTCTGCATGTTTTTGGATGAATGCACAGCGCATGTAGGGGGCGTGGCCTCAATAGCCCTGCAGTAAGCTGTGTGCTATATGCATATGATTGAGAAATAGCATAGATATTCAAGTGTACTTGAATGAAATCTGGTTGTTTTCGTCAAGATTATGCTAAAATATATTTTCCCCAACTTAATTTAAATTCCCTGTTAAGGGCCAACCTTCAAATTAGTAAATTCCAGTTTATTCCTGTTAATTCCGGTTAATTCCCATGGGAAGTTTCCAATTTTGAAAATTCCCAGAATTCTTCTTTAACCAATGCAAATCCACATCTTCCTAATGCAATATGTTAATGGCCACACAAATAATAGATCTATTAATCTTAATCAACCGCTACACCCAAATATGGAACCCTTTTTTTTTTTTTTATTACAATTAGATATAACAATCAGAGTACAGCCTCTGAGGTCAGGCGTGATAGGAAAACAAAAACAAACAAAAGGGTTGTTGGTGACATACTCTCAAAAAAGTGAATAAATAAGTCTTATTGAAGTAGTCTTAATCATATAAAAAGCAGCATGTATTGACCATGTAGGTCTTCAAACCGATACCTGAATAAACCCACATTTAAAAAACGTGGTCAAGCAAGGTTTTTTTTTTTTTTTTTCACTCAGCAGATGCACATTTTATTTCACATTATAAAAGGAAAACATTCATGTCATGTTGGAGAAAGTAGTCATATTTTTTTTTATGTAGACCTTTTCTTTAACTTTGATTATCTGTGCAATGCGAGGCTTCCCTTTATTTCTGTTGATGCCACATTTCCCATCAACAAAAGGTTTCTCTCAGCGTGTTTACAATCAGTGCTTACGACCTCACCTTTGTTTGTTGCGGTCCTTCCATACTCTCCCCGATTTCGGTTTCCCCAGAGGTACGGCCGTGCTTTGTTTTCCGCTTGATCCCAAACGAGGCTTCTTGTTCGGCATGGTGTCGGCGGTCATAGGCACCGTTTCTGACGGTGTAGGCCCGGACACATGAACGACAGCAGCCTCTGTGGTACACGACTCCGCTCCGGCAGACAAACTGAGCTTCTCCTCCACCAGCTCCTCAGCTCTTCGCGTTGCCACCTCAGTTATGCTCTCTTCCACCGCCTCCTGGATAACAGACTTCCTCGTCCTCCGGCTGGGAGTCCTCACCGGGACTTCTGAATCCAGCAGTGCGGCCGGAGTGCGCACTTGGCGACCGCTGCGGGTACGCCTCGTCTCCGGTGGAGGATCTGGGACCCCCTCATCCTGTAGTCTCATGTCAACCCCGTTTTTTTCTTCTGACACGGTTCTCTGCCCTTTCGACATGTTTTCCTACAAACTCCAGCACATAAATCCCACAGACGCGTGTGGCGTTAACCCCACGTGTGATCACCGCCGATGTCATGCACTTCCGCGTTCAATGGCGGATGGTAAACGACGCGTTATTACCGCCACCTACTGGTCTGGGGGGGGGGGGGGGTGTTAACGTCAAAGTACAGATGCTCAATCCTGTCTTGATAATTCCGCAAGTCATTCAACTATAACGCCCAAATGTACGTGAATACAAGATGAAGGTTTGGAAAGTGTCCACATAAAGGCTTAAAATATGTCACCTTTAAAAACAGCGTGCAGCACCCCCTGTCGACGATGGGAGAAACACACACAGTGTTTGAACAGATGAACATTTGTTTGTAAAATCATTGCAACATTTTAAACATTGCATGATTTAATTGTGGGTTGTAAAACCAAACCAAATACTTTTAAAATGCATAAATGTGAATGGACCATGTAACAGCCTGTGCTGTTCTTATTTATATTAAAAACTCCGTGTTTGGGACATGGACTGTAAATATGTAAATATGGTTTGGGACTTCAGGGTAGCTGGAATAGCTGCTTTATTTGACTTTTGCATCTTGTGTTCTTGTGTTTCGCTCACTTGCTCTGTACGTCTACTTGAAGGAACTGGTGTAGGCCTAAAGTGTTCATGCAGCAGACATGAAAATGTTTTGTATGCACAATGGTTTGTGACTGCATTGCATTTGATATTTCATTTGATTATAGCAGTCAGCCACAATTAGGCCTATAAATCAGGGGTGTTAATCTTGCATTATACCTTAAGTTTTTTATTTTAGTGCATTGGCATTTCAAATACAGTGTATAAATGACGGCCCCTTACCTTGTGGTTAGATAACTCAGGTAAATTTCAATGTCATGGTGGCTGAAGATATGAAAACATAAAAGTACAATCCGATATTCAGAAGATAAAGGGGGTTGTTGCAGCCCACTTGGTCTTTCTTGGGGGAAGTAAAGAACCATCCAAACTACAATTAAATGAATACTTCTACTAATACTAAAATCAGCCATTTTTAATTCAAATTCATATGCACCACTTTTCATGCACAACTTCATGCAGGAAAGTGCAAATAGTCCCATAGTCTTCAAAATGTTCAGATTTTCAAAGATGAAAACAACTACAGATGCAGATGTGTTGGATCAGTTCTTTATTAAATGCAGGATGAGATGAATACATGTTGTTATTTAACAGAGAAACAGTTACAAAGCATACAGTATATCTATCTAAACACATGTCCCCTTCATTACATACTGTATACACAGTATATATTATTCAGACAGTGAGTCATATAGCACAGTTCACTTTATGGTCATGTAGTCACACAGCAAAATTCAAAAGTTTTTTTATTACTAAGTGATTTATTTTGATCAAATGTCCTGCACAATCATTGACTAAATTATATAATATTGTTAGGAGTTGATTAGGAGTTAAAGCTGTAAAAAAAGAAAATCACTAAAGTAAATAATTACAGCTGTATTAAAATGAAAGTTTAACATCTAATGTTCAAATGATCATGCAGTTTCTTCTTTACTCTTTTTGGTAATATGAAGCTGCACATGAAAACTGCGGGAGGTCACAAACATACTCAAATGGCCACACTATTTTCTTCCTTTGTTGGATCCATGTATGTGTATGGGACTTCAAGGCTATCGTTTCGGACTTTGATGATGACACTTTGCACTTCAATCTTTCCTTGAAAATCCTTTATCACCTTGCAGGGAATCGCCTCACTGAAGTGGTCCTCTGGGTACTGGCCAAATGGAACCTGATGACATCAATGAAACCATTACAATGAGTTTTCCTCTCCATGATTTAAATACGTGTTCATGTTTTTGCTTCTTAAATAGATACTGTGTGGGCTCTCAGAGCCAAGGTATGGTTGACTCTATAAGCCATGTTAACTTTCTTTACTTACTTAAAATAATGCAATTTATGTTTTTCACATGTCATGGGAACTTACAAAGTCAGAGGACTGCTTGCTGAGTAACCACAAGGTGGACATTCCATTCACTGTCACGTTGACGTCAGGGAACGTCTGCAGCATGGTGGCCTTGCTTGTTGTCCCCTTGGTGGTTGGTGGAGGAAGTTGCAGGGAGCTGGGAGCGTTGGGCATCCAGCCACAATAGTCATACTGCGATGAATAAACTGATTAATTCTTATCGACATTTCATCAAAACATATCTTTTGTCATACATTGACTTAGGATCCAAAATCCTGCCAAATCATACCTCCTGTTTTGTGTCATTCGTTAGTGTTCTCAAATGTAAAAAAAAACAAGGTAGTATTAAAAAACATTAACCTGCTTCAAGTCAGCATACTATAGGTTTCCATTGTGAGGATGTTAGCAGCCTTGTGACAGAGTTGCCTTATTTGTTACACCAACAATATAATCTCTTTCTCTATGTCTTAAAAAAGTGTTCATTAGTTTGTAAAGGAAGTCATCTTAATCTGTTTTATTATTTTACATTATTACTGTTGTATACAAAACTATTAATCTCTATCTCCTCCAGTAACAATGAGCAAACTATGTTTCGAAAAAAGCTAATTTGAAAAGGGGTACATATGTTTTCTAGACTTGATTATCTTAAATGCTAACTAAAAACCTTTAACAACAAATTTTATTTAATTTTTTATAGACTTCCCCATTTAAAGGGAAAATGCGAAACCAAATCAACCAATTTCACAAAAGTTAAAACAATAATACAACAATTCACCTGTCCAGAATTCACGGCTGCGTGCTGTATTGAGCAGGTGAAGATCACCATGGTGACAAACTTGACCATCTCAGCCACTGTGGTAAGGTTCTGTGGAATTCCTGAGAATGACAGAAAACAAGCAGCATTACTTAAAATATCAAATATAACTAATGTTTGTTTGACAATAATGTAATAGTAAACAAATGAACAAATTCATTTTTCATTGAGATTACGTGTTTTTAGAGTAGCACACCTGTGTCTGCGTTGGAAAGGAATCCGTGTTCAAAAATGTCTGAAATCCACTTCTGCAGTTCAGAGTCCTGTTCAACCTCAGCATCACTCTTGTAGTAGTAGCTGAGGATTCCCTGCACAAGGCTTTCAGAAAAGTGGAGAGATGCAGGGAAACACAGTCATGTTTCAAAATACTTCTAAACATTGATTAATGTAATTAATTGTCATGTATATAAATATATAAGATTTAAAGCATTCTTTAAACATGTAAATACTTACAAACACGTGCCCATACACACATTTTAATTGTTCTGTAAGTGTTTGCCTTAAGCAGTCAAGCCCCATTAGTTCAATCTTTTTCTTTTTAAAATGACCGTGGTTTGAAATCTGTTTTTTAACTATAAAAAGTTAAATGTTTCTGGCTTCTGCATTAAATTTAAGACCAGAAAGATCTTGTCGGATTGCTTCTAAAGACCTCATCTATCGAAGAGCTCAGAGAAATATGTTATTGTGTCATCTGCATAAAAATACATTTTTCAAACTTGACCCCTTGGGAACTTCAGTGCTGACAATCATCTTGTGCAAGTTTCCTTTTAGTTCTAATAACTGCATTTTTGTAGAACCAGTTACAAATCTCATACAAACCAGATGATTCAAACATACTTAATTCAATGGAGTAATCATCTGTATCAACAGTTTTAGGTAGGTGAGGGAAACACATTTTTGCTTTTTTTGTTTTTGGGAAACTGCGAGGCAAATTTGAGAAGTTTTGAGAAAAACCTTCCAGTCTTCATGCTGTTCTGCAATCTAACCCATCTGAGATGGACAGTAGAAAGCATCTTGTTTAACTTTAGTGTGATTCATGGCATCTATCAAGTAGATTTTTTTATAGGGCATTCCATGACAACAAATGTCTCCAATTTGGCACCAATATGGTAAAACCCTAAAAAGAATGAAGATATTAAAAGTACATATAATACCTGTGGATGATATCCCAAAGCTTGAGTCCATCATCTCTGTAGTAGTAGTTGGGTACAGACTCCATCCCACGCTCAGCGATGTCGTCTGGTATGCAGAGGGAGCTGTAGGTCATTGAGGCCATTGATCTCTTCAGGATTGTGAACATACCCTCTCCGCCACAAGCTGCGAACTAGAGACCAGTCAAAATAAGCAACACTGTTTTAAGATTGGAACTTTACATGTTATTAAGATAAAAAAGATGAATAAGGTACTGATCCGCTGAGCGTGTTTGCCTTTTCCTACCTTTGTGAAAGAACCATCCTTAGAAATGAGCAGTTTTCGAGCCATGAGGTTGATCTGCAGGGTGTAGCGAGTGTGGGGGACGAGCAGCTGAGGGCAAGATTAAACTATGTCAGGAACAATATTGCAAAAAAAAGTCAGAGATTTGATGCCTCTTTACAATCCAGTTGTGTTTAATGCTTATATACCTTGTACAGTGGATGCACCATGGGCACATTGCGCAGTAGAGACACAGCAAAAACTTCAGCCAGCAGATGCGTGTGCAGCAGGTGAATATTGAGTTCATGGAAGTTGAAATCTGCACTTCTCACAAAAATCTTGGCCATCAACCAGTCGTACTCGGTGTCTGAAGGATAAAAGATGGGATTGTCCTCTCCAGGAGTCTGCTTCAGCTACAGGAGAAGAAAGCAAGATGTGGTTCATTCAATTTGTTTATTCAATTTACAATATGGTTACTAGTTTTCACAATTTTACATCCTGCTGTCTGTTTACTCCAAGTTTGTTCTGCTTTGTGTGATGATCCTGAATTGTTTTTGAATTTGTTTTTTATGTTTGTTCTCTCTCCATCTGTTTTCTTTCTCCTGCCGGTATGTGTGTGGTAGGGTGGCACGGGGTGTGGCTGGCTTCTCCCCTCAGCAGCAGATGAGACACACCTGTCTCCACTCTACTATTCTGCCAGATAACTCTGTCTCTTTGGGTAGTGTGCTGTGTACTCACTTTTGTGCTTCTTGTAATGGTATTTCTAATTGTGTTTCACCCATTTCAGTGCGTGAGATTTTTTTTCCTAGTGTCATCTCTGGCCAACTCCCTGCCCCTGTTTCATCTTTTTGAGGAAATCTAGCTATGCATGCCAGTCTCTGCTTCAGGGTTTAAATAAAAACCAAACACTTTCAAGGTTTGTTTGATCAGTTTAGTGATCGTTGCCTTCATCAATGCTTTGGTGTTATTTAAAGCTGCATTATAGTCTTGGTTAATAAATTCAGCAAAGCAGATGCTCTCCGTCTCAGTAAAAAATATGTGTATTGGTTTTAGGGGTGCTTAAAAAAATACCCTAAATTTACCCGGCTTTACTGATTATTCTTGAGCTTTATTTACTATTCTTGAGTTACTTTCACCTGAATAGCAATTGGCATCATCTTGTCCTCAGGTGTTTTGTGGAGCAGGACGAGGGGAGCCATCAAGTACTGCTTCTTCCCGTTGATGGTGTTTGCCTCCACTCCATCCAAAAGCTTGTAGTCACACAGGTATATGTTCCCTTTCTGTTTGGAAATTATGATAAAGAATTAAAGATTTTTACTATCAAGCATACAATGTGGATATTACAATTGATTTAACATGCCATGGGGAAATGCATGATTCAAACACTAAGATCAGTGAGGTCAAGACAATCACCTTCAATTCATCATCCAAGGTACACTGGCCAGGTAGAAAGATCAAACCTTCAGACACAGGAATTTTCTCTGGGATGGCTGAACAACGCCTGATCATCATGGGATTCACACCGTTTAGAAACTGGTAGCCAAAGAAAGAGTCCTCTTTCCAATGTTTATGGGCATAGTCTGTCAAAATAACAGTGGAAAGTTCCTGAGTTTCAAGATTTAGAGTAGACAACTACAGCTATGTAGCTTAGCAATAACTGAGCTTTATGTGAATCCGCGTAATGGGAAACAGTTCAAAGAAGACAGAGTCATGGACAGGATGGGACACTGGCCAGAGTTGCTCCAAAATAGATTTCAGTCATCTAATTAATAAAATGTTATTCAGTAAACAGCTTAGTCATTACCTAATTTTGACATAGAGACATAAAAATACATAAAAACCTTCTGCCTGTTTTTTTTACACTTTAACAAGCAAAGTAGAGAGGCCAATATAGCATTCCTAAAAATGTATGAATACAAATGAATGAGAAATATATCTTTTAGAAGCATAATGTAAATGTGTGTATTATCTAAAAGAATTCAAGTGAATGCATTACTTTGCAGGCAGAATCAAGTTTTTCAGTAAACTAGCATTATTATTAAGTACCTGATATGTCAGTGCGCTTGCAGCAGAACACCCGATTGATGTCCTCGATATCAGTCCATTTCTCTGTGCAGTCAGCCAGACCCTGCAGTTTCAGCTCAGCCAGCCTGAAATACAGTAAAATACAAATGCCAACTTTATTATTTGTTCTTAAATAGTTTGATAAACAGGTAGGGCGAAAGGTACATTGTTTTATTGTTGGAAAGATATCTGACAGAATTTGGGGACTTCACCCTTCGACTGCAGTGAAGAGAAATTCTGTGGACTTGGTAAAGGAGAATTGGACCTCGTGAGGCAGAGAGCAAGGGCTTTCTGCCTTTATGCAATGAGGAATTCCTTCTGCATACGTATTCCAGCTGGAAGAAAGAATAGAAAAACAGAATGATAAACTTCGGACTGTTAAGATGCATTTGTATTTATAGTTTTACAATAGAGTTTGAAAAAACAGTGGCATGATAAAAACATGTAAAAAGGCTGGTGTATTGTATCATTATTTAAAATGAAAATATTGAACTAAAATAGAAGCAGGTTTGGATGCATTCTGGTTTTAGGGGGGAAACGTTAAAACTGTAGCGGCACTTAACTCACCAGTAAGCTTGCCCTCGCAGACTCAGCTCCTGCTGACGATCGTACAGGCCAAGAGGATGAGTGTCATCAAAGACTCTCAGAGCTTCAAGAAACAGAGAGACACAAGGTTTAAAATGTGGATACATATTCAATATGATGGCAAGCATAGTCGAAGTTGTGGGACATGTCTATTTTTTGAACCCTTTCCTGTGATTGGGTAGAAGCTTAGTATGTAAGAAAAACTAATTTCCACAAACCTCTTCCCTCTCTGAAGCGGTGCACCTCACTGTCACTGATCCAGCGGTAGATGGGAAAGTTGTAGATGTGTCCTTCAGGGCATTCCACTTCCACCTTGGAAGGAAACCAGGCATCTTTAGGGAAAAGAAGGGGCCCGTTTTTTTCCAGCTCTATCAGGAGCAGCTTTCCAATGGAGACATGGTCGGACACGGTAAAAGTGGACTCCTGGAGTAATTACAGAAACAGAAGACATCTAGATGTAAATATGAAGTGCATATAGTTATCCCGTTATTAATTTAATGATTAACATAAAAACACAGACAGTATAAGGACGGGGACAAAATCAAACACATTTACAAATACATAAAGAAGGATATTTTACACTTACTGCTCCCCTGATGAAGGCAAAAGCCCCTCTTATGTCTATGAGACAGTGTCTATGGCTCTCCCCATCTGTCCCCACCAGCTTGATGTAGATATTGTTAAGTGTACCGGAATCGCTGAGATGGCCAGTAAACACGGTCACTTTATAGTTCACCATTTTCACTCTGGAAAGTACAAGGAGTCCTGATGGGAAAAGTTTTTTCAGGTATCTAAAAAAAGACAGGTGTTTTTCAGTAAAAGTAGATAAAATACTAAAAAACCATGGCATTTTGAAAGTACAATGGCACAAAAATTATACAATACAACTGTTTTAAAGTGAAATCATTAACTGAAGCATCTCTCTTACCTGTCAATGAGGCCTATAGCTCATTAGAAGAACTGCTCTGTTGAATGAACTCACCACCTCTTGGTCCTCTTTTTATACATGCAGTTTGGTGGGAGTGTCCAGTTAGTAGTATTTGTCAGCTATGCACTGGAATGTCAAACATTCACTAAAGCTTGCAAAACATCAGGAGCAGGATGCAGGCTATAATGTCATAATTTCATGTTCAAGTTTGTTGTCATATGCACAGACATTTCTTTGAAGCACTTCAGCAATGAAATGTTAGCCTCGAACAATGCTGATATAAAATGTATTAAAAGACAGTCACAATAAAAAGTCTTGATCAAAGACATATGAGCGCAGAAGTTAAAATGAAAAGAATACATAATATAACTAAAAGAGTAAAGTTTGCGTATAAGACATACTCCAGCTTATCGATTGAAAAATGGGAGATCTTGTGGTAGAAAAATGGGAGATCTTGCGCCCAACAAAAAAAATTAAATTCCACGCTTAAACAAACACAATATCTCAGAATCCAATTTTAATCAACTAGAAGACAAAACATTATGGCAGCCACTCCTAGTTTCCGCTATCTTTTTTCCAGGGAATGGGACGACTCCCACTCAATTTTTCACGAGGAGATTCCACCCTCTCCATAGCCAATCAATTACCATTCTTTATACCAATCTTACAGAAGAGTTTAGCATTCAGACCTACTAAAGAAGCAGTGCAAACAATAAGAAAAACACAATTGCTTGTCAATATCTATGTTTTGTTTTAACTTTTTGATAAAGCTTCAGTGAAACATGAAAAACACATGCTCCCAACCTTGAGTCCCTTTTTATAAATGGGATGAATTTGCAGAACAGGGCTTACCATGTTCTACTAAGAGGTGATGTGAAGGGCAGTCACTATGCAAGAAGCTCTCAGAGCAGAGTTTGAGAGAACATAATGAAGTCATCAAGTATGACAATACTGTCAAATATTTTCTATCGTAAAATATGTAAAATTATCAATATATTAACCTGATGTTTCGCTCCAGCGCCAAATATTTTTATTGCAGATCTAAATGAATCACACAAATGACCTAATTGGGATCCAAAACGTCAAATTTTGCCGAAAGGTGACAAGTTTGCACCCCTGACCAGTAGTGTTCTTCTTGTATGTTCATCATTATGCAGCCTCTCTGTTGTAAATACCTACACTCCAGCAGGTCCATGTAAACAAGGACCATCATCTCCTTACAGTATGAGTTGTAATAGTCTTTTAAGAGACAGTGAGTAATTGTGCAGAAAGGAACAAAAATATCAGGACTTAAGACTTTTTCTATTATAAGGGTCTAATACTGAGTGCACTCTCAGTTGATAAATTAACACAGATAAGTTTAATGATACTTAACATTGTTCTTTGGTATACTTAATACATTCCTCCACATAACCACATACAACCTTTCTTCATTAAACATCTCCCTCAAACACATAGGCCTACTTACAGGGTGTAAAGTCAGCCTCACCCAGGGACGTAACACCTGGTGTCACAATAATGTCCTTAAATGCCTTGCCTCCACCATGGAAAGCAAACTAGCAGCCACCAACTCCGCATCACCATCAGCAACTAACACCCTGCAAACTACCATCTATATATTGTATATTAGAGGGAGCCAAAGGAACCAGGAGCAGACCCACTCCTCCGGAAAGTGGCCAGCTTCATTTAGCCCATGACTGGAAGATGCTAGTTGATGTTGGTCGGCAGCTCTCAGGACTCAGTGGACGAGGCATATGAGCGGAAGCAGCTAAGTTATGCCGAGTTAGCAGCAGAAGCACAACTCTGCGGCTGGAACACCGTAGTTCGTCCTGTGGAAGTGTGGTGCAGGGGGTTTGTAGCAACATCTACAATGAGGTTGCTCAGAGACCTAGGAATCAGAGGTCAGATCTTGAAGGCAGCAACCAAAGCTATGTCGGAGGAAGCAAAGAGAAGAAGCCAGTAGCTGTGGATGAAGAGGCAGGACTCCTGCTGGGCCCCAAGGTAGCAGTCCAGGTTGACACAGAGGGGGGTGTTTCTGGGATGCCAGAATTCACTGTTGAGCCCTTCTGAGACGTCGTGGGCTTATCAACGAAACGTTGAGGAAGGAGGGTGCCCACTTGAAAACCCCCCTGTGTCTACATTCCCCAGCTAGGTACAATCTTATTAGGTTCTTGCACATAAGGGATTTTCTACATCTTGTCCTGTGTTTCTGAAATCCAAATCTGATCTGAAAATCTAAGTACAAGTTGAAAGAAATGAATTCTAAATGGAGTTTTATTATTACAGTTTTAGCAGAGACACAGTGTTAGCTGGTTGTGACCATTTTGTTGGACTTGTGTAATCAGGCTCTATAGGTCTTTTCTGAGATATGACACTGTAAGGTTTCACTTGAACAACGATAGGGAAACTGATGATGAAACGTCTGTGTCAGATTCCTAGAATGCATCATGCTGAGCAGATTCTGTGAAACCTGGATGGACTTTATGTGTCATGCATTGCATGAAGACAGGTAAGGATTTCATCTGACATGTGAAAGTTTTACTAAATGTAAGGGGAGAGAGGTGACACATATTTACTGTCCATCATTCAAAAATGTGTGTTAGCTAAACCAATCAATCAATCAAGCATAATAAAAACAGACATGAAAATGAAGAAGACGGTCACTTAAGGTGTTCATTGATTTATTCATTATTTTTTTATTTGAAGATTTGAAGAAAATGGATGAAGATTGGCTAAAATATCCACATAAAGACTGAGTATGAGGAGACAGGTTTTCTTCTGAACTTGGCTTAATGCTAAAGGTTAAAAAGTGAATTCAGACTCCCAACACTATGGCTCCCAAAGACATACTTATTTATTTGCTATATGAATGCTTTTTAAATGTATTTTTGTATTTTGGTATGCCTTGCCGCAAATCTCCCATAGGGGACAAATAAAGTTGACGTTGAAGTTAGATAGACTCTTTATTGTCATTGTATAAAGAACACAAATAAACTTTGAGTTGAATGGAAGTCAGAGTTTCGTAGACTTTCAATTTAAAAAAGGGCTACAGAAGGAGTTCAATTGGCTGCAAACAGCAGACTGAGAAGTGTTTCTGGATCAAAGGTGAAATGTTGAAACTCTTGCCTGTTTCAAATCTAATTTTAGTTCAGACTCTGATGCACAGACTTTGATTTCTTTTATATGGAAAATAATTCAGCACATTTGTAGTTACTTATTATTGTCTGGAATATTTATTCAGTGTTGTTTTTTTTTGTGTAGTCGCTCATGATGGAAATGGACTGTTAAGTGAACCAGAGGTTGAACTTGACCCCGTAGTCTGTATCACTTCCCTCAACCTCACTGTCTACAAAGTGTTTGTGTCTACAAAGTGTTTGTGTAATTGCTCTGATACTTAGAATTTTAGTCAATCACCCAGTTTTCTGCAGTTATGGAAGTGAAAACGGTGTGCTGGGTCATCCTGAAACTATTCCAAATATAGTAACTTGAAAAAAGCTGATGGGTAGGCTATGCATTTTTTCTCTGCAATTATTGTATTTTAAGTCATTTTACCCCAAACAATAGTTATATTGTTGACAAGATAGTGTTAAAATAGTAACATATACATTTTTCAACATCATACTGATATTCACAGGGTTTCTGCGATATAGGGGAAGCTGGGGGTTTTCTTTTTGACCCCGTTCCTTATTTATTTAAGTATTTATAAAAATTAGAGTAGAGAGATCTCCCATGATTGAAATGTTATTGTTCATTCGTACATATTTTATTAACATTAACAATGATGAACTCACAAAGTGCCTCCAACTGTAGTATCCTCCAAGGCTATATTCGGACAAGAAGCTCTGCAGCCCATCTATGCAGATGATTGGATGGAGCGTAAATAGAAGTAAGGTTTTATTTTTATACACAAAATTTCATCAAAAATACAAAATTATGAAATCTATGCGTGTAATAAACCCAAATAATTTCAGAAAGATGACATAATTCACTATGAATACATAACAATATAAGTCACATATCATACTTATTTCAACTTAAATTACTATAGTAATGGTTGGTAGATCAAAAAAAACATCATAAACACAAACATTTGCTTTAAAATAATTTTATCAACACCGGTTGTAATATAACCATGTGTTACTATTGTATGAGTGTCTTATATGCTTATATTTAATAAAATATAAATTGTCTAAGGAAAACACTCTTCTGTATTCAAGCCAAAATGTTTCGTACAATTTCCGGGTATTTTTGGTGGCCGAAATCTTCTGACATGGTTCTCTGAGATTTGGACAGGTACATGTTCCGCCCTTTCGCCTCTCTCTTGCAGACTGCAGACAGACCCCTTTCCAATTGGGTAGGTTCAAACCTAAGGGAGCTTGCAATGTTGCTTACTTAATCCTGGCATGTTTTTAAGATCACAGAAAGCTAGTAATTAATTTATTCAACAAGATAAAAAAAAAAACTTGGTGGGCAATAAAGTGGGATTGAAAGGAACAGAGAGATAACAGTCATCTTGACAATGTTAACTCTGTCAATTAAATAGATGACTAGATCCTTCCATTTGTATTAATCCGCTTTTATCTTCTCAAGAGTGGGCAAATATTTTTTGGTACAATGGGTTCAGGTCATTGGGTATTTGAATGCTCAAGTATTTAAGGTTGTTTGGTGTCAGCTTAAAGTGAGATGTAACTGGTCCCTGGTTATAGGTAGTACCTTGGTTCAGGGGCATTACTTCACTCTTCTCAAAGTTAAGCTCGTTGCCTAGTATTGTGCTGTATTTCTCTAATATTGTGAACAATTGAGGCACAGACTTTTCTGGATGTGTAATGTAAATGAATAAATCATCAGCATATAAGGAAAGTTTGCTTTCATATGTTCCGGTCTGTATACCTCCCTGAGAGAGGAAAGAGGACAGCCTTGTCTTACCAACTGAAATGGCTTGGACATAACTCCATTTGTCAGAACCTGGGGTTTGGGAGAATGATACATGATTTGAATATATTTTATGAATACCTCACCAAAGTTAATGCGCTTCAGGGT